CGGTAAATCATCACGAGGGACCAATATATTTATTTTACGTACTGTTTGGTGCGAGCTGTTGGAAATTTGTACGTGTAAGATGACAAATCTTAAAGGAAGATCATCAGTCTGCAAGATGCTTTTTAGGGGATTAGTACCACGCTTACCACAAATATGATAAGGTATCAAAAAGTTGTTAACTGCTATTGATAAAAGGTTCCTTTTGAAATTTGCACCGTTTTTAGGCTACTGTAAACTGTGCACAAGGGACGCTAATGCGCTACTTTGTGAATATCTACCAATACGTCCCAATTGTTGATTTCAAACTGATTCTAAACAGCAAAAAGGCGATGAACGCGCAGAAATCGTTCAGAGCAAAGAAATGGTTTGTTATGAATGTTTGACGTGGTCAAAAGTAGCTGGGTGTGCAAGCTAGTAGTCTATGATTAATCTACCTCTTAAAGAAATGTAAGAGAGTTGGATGGTAGAATGAGTCTCCTTCGTACAACTGTGAAATAAAAGAATACCAAGTGTCGTTCGAGCTCTTGTGCACGTGAAAAAACGATTTTCCACGACCCGAAGAAACAAGTGGTCATAACTTCCTCCATACAGGCATATAACAAACGAATAATTAAGCATAGTCTTTCTAGGAGACTTTGCTGTTATACATCCCATTAAGGATGTTGTAAAAGGCGTTCCGCTGGAAATTGTTTACTTTTTAAACCATCATTACTACCGGAAGCTCGCATTTACTACGATCTTGATGCCATGGTGACCATCCCTTCTAAATAACTCTGTGGTTGGCATAGAAATCAAACCTCGTCAAAACCAAAAATCTCCTTATTTGTTATTAACATTGTGTACTAGGCGAGTATACTGAGAGTCGGTATTTGGATTCTGAAATGGCTCATTGAATACTTTTAATTGAAAACATCAAGAAGTTGCTGCGCCCAAGAATAATATGGGCAATGTTTGTCTTCATTTAACGCTATGCGAGTTGGGCACTAGTTATTCCAATAATTAGAAGTGGAAAAAAAATTAGATCGTGGAAATTTTGGCGGCTAAGTTCAGGATGCCAGTGAATTGGAATCATGACTGTTGGATAGCAAAAGATCCATAATTTCAAGAAAAATCAGACTGCTAGTCATTTGCAGCTTTAAAACATTCTATAATCAGAAAAATTGTGCGGAAAAGGATGGATGTAATAATTTCGAAACAATTGTGGGGGAAAAAGCGCTTGAGTTTTCCACGGCTCTCTTTTAACGATGTTGCTGTTAATAATTTGAAAGATTTCAACAAATACTGTCACAACGGCTTTCAATCTTTGACATTCTAGCCATTCAAATATATCTTATGCATTAAATATCACAATCTGCAAAGTGAGTTGTTAAGATATTTATATGGCCCAAACGTTAAAGCGAACTGCAACTTCGTAACCATCCGTCTCAGCTACGAGGATTGTTACCCATAGAAAGAATTTTCATTGCGTTACATTGCGATCGCGGTTGATGATACTCTGTTGAGGACGCAGCTGGCTCAAGCATTCAACAAACTATTACTACACCTTTTCAATTTCCCGTGAAGACGTCGCGAAT